CAAAAACACAAAGTTCTTTGTTCAACAACAAAGTTTCCAGATAGCGATTATTTAATGAGGGCAATGAGGCCTTCTTAAGGGCGCTGTGAATTTTAACATGTTCATAGGCATCCCCTTCGCATATCTATAATATTGAAAAGCTGATTTAACTATCTGAACATCTTGCTAGATCACGTGACTAGTGAGTTCGATCCTCACAGGGTGCTCCACATTTTGGGCCTTGCGCCACATCTAAGCTATACTTAGAAAATCATTTTAACTATCTGAACACGGATTGGGCAATGTAATATGTAATGGGGATCTATAGAAGAAAGAAAGTTCTCTGTTGTCCATTAGAGTCATTATTATATCCATGATATAGTAACACCTTAACATATATATATATATATATATATATATATATATATATATGGTGGACACTCTTGTCGTATTCCACTTATGAGGGTCAAGCGGCACAGTTCTTAGGAACCTATAGCCCAGACATCAGTATAATGATTTGATTATAATGTCGAAGGCTTTTTGCAGAACCAACCACACATTTTGAAGGGCCGAATACAGAGACCTGGTGCACTACGTGCTACAAGGTCTCCAAACGACCCTCCGGATGTTTTTAATTCAGGGTTGCCTTTTTCCTAGACCAGTGCCATCCAAGCTATAGAACCCAGTCTGTCCTGCTATTTACCCATACCTGGGGGGAAAAAAGAGGATTAATACCTTTCCCAAAGTTACTGGCACGTAAGTGAATGTAATGGATTCGACTGGAATTCGAATCCGATTCCTCAATCCGAGCCACTATCCCCTACTCCTCCGTGCCTCCTCTAATATATATATATATATATATATATATATATATATATATATATATAAAAAATGAGAACGAACCGAATATAAATACAGACGTTCGTAACATTAATTTAAAAGAGGGCTCAATCCAATATTAGAGCTATATTCTTTATTTTAGGAGGTTACATCAGCATGTGAATAAAAACGCTACATAAATGCAGTCATGTTTCGATGTGTACTAACATATCTCATCAGGCGTTAGTAAGAGGTCTGACGAGATGTGTTAGTACATATCGAAACATGACTGCTTTATGTAGCGTTTTTATTCTCACGTTTATGTAATATCTTAAAATAATATATATATATTCCTACCTATATATAAGACAAGGTGGAACTAGTAACAGTAATCGCTTGAATCAGTAGGTTTGTGAGTCTGTGATTGGGCAACATTCGATTAACAACCCGTGTTGCGCTTCCAAATATATTCACGTGACGTTTAGGATTCTGTACAGAGCTTAATCGGTTAAACATTTACGGTTGTTAGAAGTTGTTTACATCAAGCTTCAACGACTGACTTTATGCAGGCAGAAGGAGAACTTTCTTCGTTCTCTTTGTCTCATGGGCGGGTTGTGAGTAATTTTTTGATGTTTTATAATCACTAGGAGCCTTTTTACACCGATTTGTTTGTTTTTCGTAATAATTTTATTTTAGTCGTGGCTTCTTAATTACGCTCGTGTCTAACATTTTCAGTTTCGCCGTTTTGATTATTGTCGTTCCAAAATATCTTTCTGAAGAAGTGTTGGACGAAAATGGTCAATTTAGAAGAATGTATTCCCTCGTTTTCAAAGTCATATCTAAATTCCGTGGTACAAATACCGCAAATTGCCAAAAACCAATACCTTAACGTTGAAACCCGAGTCAGGTTCTTAAATAGCTTCATCAGATCGAAACATTCATACGGATGTCATGCATGACACCAAACTCGTTCAGGTATATCTCAAGTTTTACAAATGCATACTGGTCACTTCGACGAGGTGTCATAGGGGAAAAAGAAAAGGAAGAAGAGTACTTTGTTCACAAGTTCATCCAGAAAAAAAACAATGAAAGTCATTAAATCTACGATAAACACAATTCTAAATAGATAAAATAATGTTGTAACTTAGGGAAGGTGACTGAATAGAATAATCACACAAAGGTTTGTAATGAACGTTAATACTTAGGAGAAGAACAACACATATAAGATTCGCAAGTAGACAACGTATAAAACGAAGTCGGATAGCTGTTTCCCGGGAAGAGACTCTGCTCTTCGGCATAGCGTCGTCTGGGGATGCTCTCGGCAGAGAGTTTGACCAGCACAGCTGGAGACGAATATCCAACTACAGGATATCTTCTAACCACCCCATGCGGTCAGATGTGGCACAAGGCCGAATTTAATGTTTGGCCCGTAAGCTCGGCCAAAAATTCCCA